GTCTGTAAATTATTCCCTGATAATCTTGCTCACGGAAGGAGCTCTCAAATAAAATATTTTGGCTATGATGACGTCTAGGGTTTTACATCACTGGTTAAGAGACACTCAAGGACTAATGGCGTCTAATGCTACTAACGGCCAACATGCGTCATGTGTGGCATATCCAAATAGTGAATTCGATCAGTGAATAATTACTTCAGCACAAGGTCAATATAAACTTATATTAAAATCACTGTATGGAAAAGATACTATTATGTTCTGTACAAAAATAGCAAATGAGTTTGTAACAACCTGATAGTGACAATGTTTCTAAAATTTCATTACATCTGAAATATTCTCTGTTTAACTCAAATATTTCTTGTATTGTACTCAAATATTTAAAAAAAAACTTTTGGTTACCAACATTCTTCAAAATATTTTCTTTTGTGTTCCGTAGAAGAAAGAAATGCATACAGGTTTGCAACAACATCAGAGGAATATCCATTTAACCTGCTAAGTATTAGATGTGAACTTAAATTAATAGTTCAACTTAATTAGGAATGCAGACATAAGGTTGGTCTCTTTTTAAAAAAGACAGTCAGCAGACTATTGCAGAAGTGAAACACTTCAAAAAATTTAAGTGTAAAAAGTTATAGAGGATTACATTTAACGTAAAGTAAAAACAACTAAACTTTTTTGATTTTATACAAAATATATAATAATAATAATAATACACTTTATTTTCTATAGCGCCTTTAAAAGTAGCATCTCAAAGCGCTTCACAAGAATAGAAACATGATAAAACATACAATTATACAAAAAATGCATTAATGACAGAAAAAAAGAAAATACCAAATAAAAGCATATATTATGAAATGTTCGATTAATAATAATAATAATAATAATATGGCAATTACGAACAATTATGTAAAAGCTACCCTAAACAAATACGTTTTAAGCGATTATTTAAAAACACTAAGGGATTCAGCTTGCCTAATCTCAGCAGGCAGGGAATTCCAAAGTTTCGGAGCATTCGAAGAAAAAGCCCTATCTCCCATGGATTTTAAACGAGTAAGAGGAACAATTAAAAGGCCAGCTTCCGAGGAGCGGAGATCACGTGCTGGAGTGTAAGGGGTTAAAAGGTCAGAGAGATAATGAGGTGCCAGTCCATGCAAAGACTTATAGGTAAGCATAATGATTTCAAAATCAACACTGAATCTGACAGGGAGCCAGTGTAAAGATATGGGATGATTATAGTATCAAAATGATTAACACGTGCAAGCACACTTATCAATGAACTTGGTACATGTTGCAGAAATGTTTTATCCATGCCTTTCAACTTGCGTGTGCAAAATTCAAAATTGAATGAATGTGAAGCAATTTGTACAAATAGAGACATTTTTGTGAATACAAATGTTTTCCTTTGTATTAGTGTATCATAATTTGCACATGCAACACAGAAGACGTGCATGTGTGGATCAGGTGACGCGCGTGCATTCATTGACTCGTTTCTGAGTCGATCCTATTTGATTCATTTGGATTTTGAGACTTTCATTTCGCGGGTTTCGCCTTGCACGATCCACACACAGCTGTCTGAGAAAAGCTGCTACCACTAGATGGCAGTATTCTGCTAAAACAGACAACGGCAGCATAATCAAGCGTTCTTCCGCATTTAAGACGCTTAATGAGAGTGATATTGAAGCACCAAATTTAGTACACAATAATATAGGCCTACCCTATTAATAAAGCATACTTTATAGAGGCAAACATTACGTCAGATTATGAACAACACCCATAGAAAACCATTATAAAACGCTTAACGTGCAATCGCGCGTTGCATGTTCAGTATAAGGTGTATTGGCTACTGAGTTTAAATATCACCGTCTTACTGCATTGACGTTAAGCTTTTTCTTTATAATATGCTCTTTGGGAGGAAAACTATATAGCCTACAGACAAGAGACTACATGAACGCAATGTACGGCGTTTCAAGTTAATAACATTTTCCTTCCCGAGCCTGTTAAAAAGAAAAAGCTTAACATGAAATAAAAATTCTGCAGTTGCGTTTAACTTTGCATGTGAATGGGAGAGCAACCGGTCCGAGAGTGCAGTGAAGTTTGATATTCGCCTCATTTTATAAAGGGACCATCTGCAAACTCCACTCACAGTCAAAAAAATATAAACGTCCAGTCATTCATTCAAATGAACATATTTCCAAGGTTATATTATAACCTTGGAAGTCTAGTGGGCAGACTGACTTAGCCTACTGTTACTGTACTATGTCCAGCCAATATCTCGATTGAACAGTAGCCTACAATTTTTTAATTTACTGTAAATTGTTTTTCTATTCATGTTCCAAAGGTTGTAGTACGTTCCTAGTGACAAGTCAGGTGAAATTTTACATTATTCACTTGTAGTAAGTCACCAAAAACCCGTTTGGTTAATTACAGTCATTTTTTTTATAAAATAATAATTGTTTACTAAATAGGCTACATGAAGGGAGTTATTGGGGCAATTTCACCTGTAGTAAGCCAGTCTAGTCACTGAACATACTACAACCATTTTGAACATGAAAAAACCCTTTTGGTGAATTACAGTATTTTTCTGCAGAATACAGGCTACATGAAGGGAAGTATTGTCCAAATTTTACTTGTAAGTCAGTCTTACAGAAACCTTCTACGAGCTTTGGAATTTGAAAATGTCTGTTATTAAATTTAAAAAGTAATTTGAATTAAAACAAATTATACGTTTTAACCACTGATCTATATAGAATGACATTATAGATCAGTGGTTTTAACGCAGTTAGTGGAATTGGCAGACGTTCCCTTGTGCATCATGAGCTGTGGTTAGCGCGTCAAAGCATTCTCGTGTAGAAATATGCAGCTACAGGCCCGCTACGCCAGTTGATTTTCAATTAATATTTCATGTCGATATACAATGGTTGCATATTGTTAAAACTCATCGTGCTATAGTAAGACTATAGCCTATGGCTTAAGGGTCAAGGGAAAACAAATGTAGCCTACTGCGAAAATCGTCTTTAATATTTAAAAACAGACATTTTCAAATTCCTGCTTGTATACTATGTACACAATGTGTAGTCAGATAAAAATAAGCATATAATATGAACGCAACTGCGAAATTTCACCTTTTTTTAACAGGAAGGAAAATTGTATTAACTTGAAACGCCGTGCGTTGCGTTCATGTAGTCTCTTGTCTGTAGGCTATATAGTTTTCCTCCCATAGAGCATATTATAAAGAAAAAGCTTAACGTCAATGCAGTAAGACGGTGATATTTAAACTCAGTAGCCAATACACCTTATACTGAACATGCAACGCGCGATTGCACGTTAAGCGTTTTATAATGGTTTTCTATGGGTGTTGTTCATAATCTGACGTAATGTTTGCCTCTATAAAGTATGCTTTATTAATAGGGTAGGCCTATATTATTGTGTACTAAATTTGGTGCTTCAATATCACTCTCATTAAGCGTCTTAAATGCGGAAGAACGCTTGATTATGCTGCCGTTGTCTGTTTTAGCAGAATACTGCCATCTAGTGGTAGCAGCTTTTCTCAGACAGCTGTGTGTGGATCGTGCAAACGCTTTTGAAACGCCGGCCAGCAAAGCATTGCAGTAATCAATGCGGGAAAATACAAAGATGTAACTTTTCAGCCACAGGGAGTGACGACATGGGACGCAATCTGGCTATATTTTTTAGATGAAAAAATGATGTCTTGACAGTGCTCTGAACATGAGGAACAAATGTTAAATTAGTATCAAATATCACCCCCAAATTTTTTTTATTTTGTTTGAAATTGAAGTGTAGAACCATCTACACACCTAGCTGGTGTGGTGAACCAATGAGCATTACCTCCGTCTTGTCACTGTATCATTTACAAAATGATTTGGACTCTAAAAATTGCTAGAAAATCAAATCCACATATCTAACATAACCAAGTTGTGTTCCAAATTTTAAATTGATATTACAAAATTTGAGCCTGCTAAAAGGTTTTAAAGTACCATTTCCATGGTAAATATGTGACGGGGAAAAAAGGTAATAGAAAGTTCAAAAAACAGCTTTTATTTTTTATAACAATGTAAAAGTCTTTATTGTCACTTTTGATCAATTGAATGCATCCTTGTAAATTCATTATATATATAAGTCTATAATATCTAGACCACTGTTTCTCAAAAGTGGGTCGCGTCAAAGTGTGCAGTCAAAGAAACGCCGATTCTATGTGTTTCTGATGCAAGACTTTTATGTGACGACCAATTTGTACGTATTTTACGAGGTGGCTAATTCGTCCTCACTCGTACGAATTCGTACGATTTGTCTAAACCCCAGTGACGGGAAGGTTTAGGAGTGGGTTCAGGGGTAGGTCATTCGTACGATCATACAAATTGGGCAACTTGTAAAATATGTACGATTTAGCAAAAATCGTACGAATTCACTCATGCGAATTTGTACGAATTAGCCACCTCGTAAAATACGTACAAATTGCCGTGAGATCAGGTTGGTCAGATGCAGTTTAAGTAAAGAGTGCCTGAGAAAAACGTGTAGTCCTGATTCAGTATCTGCGGTCAGATGTCAGTGTCATTATTCTAACGTTATTTTCGTAACTTAAATACGAAATAAAAAGTCTCTCACCTAAAAAAAAAAACCCAAACTTTCCTGTCCTGTCAGCCATTATACTGTGCACGAAGCGTGCACACGGCGCGCTGTATATCAGTACATTATAAATAAAGTGCAAAAGAAATTATGAGCATGCAACGTCAATTATTTATGTTGTCAATTAGTAAGTCATGAAATGTACTTTGTGTGTTAGCTGGGAAGGATTTGCATGCAGGTATGATGTTCATTTTATTCATCAGGAGCAGTATTTATACATATGTATTTTTTTTTTTTTTTTTTGGAATTGGGTCAAATTCCTAAAAAAAATAAAATGGTTCGCAGCTAGATAATGACCATTGCAACCCCATGGCCAAACCAGTTGAAAACCTTCTTACTCGTCATTCTGTTCTTACCTTCAGGTAACAGATGAAGATGAAGGTGAGAGGAGTGATGTACTGCAGCACCAGCATGCCAGTGGTGTAGGTGAGCTTGATTTCTCTGGAGGGCCACTCTTCCACACACACCACCTTTCCCCTGTACTGCTCCTGAAACACTGAGGGCAGCTGCTTCAGCGGGGCGTCTGTCACCCTGGAAAACAACAGAAATGGTGTGGCAGTGAGGACGGCCAGGGCCCAGGTGAGGCTGATGCCCAGACAGGCATGGTTCAAGCTGGGCCTCCATCCCCGAGGGTGCAGGATGAGTTGGTGCCTCTCAATGGCAATCAGAACCAAGGAGAAGATGGACACCGAGACGGAGCAGCACTGGACCAGGCTGTTGAGTTTACACATGACCGCTCCAAACACCCAGTGGTCCATGAAGGTGTAGATGAAGGTAAACGGCAGACACACTAGGGACATCAGCAGGTCCGAAACGGAGAGGTTTGCGATTAAGACGTTTGTGACGTTGTGAAGTTCCCGTTGCCTTGCAATGACGAGGATGAGAGCCAGGTTGCCCACAACACCCAACAGTACCACAGCACTGTAGGCAATAGCCATGATAACAAACAAAGAGTGGCTGCCATAGCACTCATCATCGCCATATGAAATTGCGGAGAGGTTAGCGAAAGAGCAATTGGATAGGCCAAAGGAACAGTTCAGAGCAGTGACTGGTGGAATTGGTGGAGACAGGGCGGAGTCTGGCATTGTTCCGCCTCCTCAGCAGTTATTTGGTGTTGGTTTAAATCAGGTGATTTTAGACTCGTTTCCTCCAGGTAACAACCTTTCCAGGACCATGTTTTCGTAATTCTGACAACATACTGTGGGGACATAAAAAAAACATCTAAATCAATACTTACAAAAGACAAGATGTCTCTACTGTCATGTTTGATTACAGACCGATCCGGTTATAAAAATCAATACATTTTCTCTTCAGTTTTATTTAATAAAGAGTTATTTTAATCTTCTTGCATCACCTTTGTTATTGACCTCATTTCTAAGAATGATGTTACACTTTTAAAGGGCAAGTCCCTCTAATGCACATTAAATTGGGCAATAATTATGAATCATCAAAAAGCATTTCTCAGGCGATGTATTAATATTAAAATATAATAATAATGCTTCCCATTTCTAAAAAGCTATAATTAAGCCTGCGTTGGTGTGCATGGAATTGAAAAGTTAATTAAGATTTTGGCATTTGATTCATTTTATTTGTATATTTAAAATTAAGCCATCAAATACTCCTGGCTGAGCTACTGGTAATAATGTGAATAAAGCAATTTAATTTTGGCGCATTGCCTAAAGACAAGTGCGCGCGCACACACACACACACACACACACACACACACACACACACACACACACACACACACACACACACACAGTCTAGGCATTGTTTTCATAGTAAGATAATGATATATTCTATCCCCTAAATCCTTTCTACATGTTTACATATTCGTTAAGACATTATTTAGTGTGTTGATTAAGCCATCTGCAATCTGACCCACATATTTCTATTTTCTTCTTTAATATACAACATGAACGCATAGACATCATAAAAATGTCATAATTATTATTAATTTTACTTCCAGACATAAGCACAGACAAAGTCCAGACATAAACTCTATGAATGACTTTCACTGGTCTATATATCAGAGTCTGAAGCAGGTTGTCAAGGTAACAGAGGTGACAAAGCCTCCTGTTTTTAGGTCTCTAGTTCTTTCATCTTTAGCTCCCTCTTCTTCTGTCTCTTTCGGCAGCCAATTTCAACGCTCTCATTTCAGCATGTTCAGTTATTGTTAATAAATTGAATATGTATTTGAACAACAGAAACACTACAGGAAGCCCAGCCGTGAATCTCTGACTAACCTTTCTTATTCATAGCAGGCCAATTCGCTTACAGTACAATAGTCTCCTGCACATGAACTGCAATGGGATGTGTAGACGGAGAATAATCCCAATAGACTGAAGCTAAATGGCAGGCCATTCACATGCTCTGTGCAGAGTATTCCCTTGACAGTACTGTTCTACAAAGTGACCTTAAGAGTAGAGTGGGTTACAAAGGGATTATGCAAGCATTTGAAACAGCCACTTAAATGTCAAGATGGAGAAAGAGTCATTCATTTGTCTTTGCATGCCTGTGAAGGGAAAAACTAATTAGGTGTGCAGAGTATTAAAAATGTATTCCAGTGACGTTAAATTAGATACTCAGCTACTGAGAAATTGTTCAAAATCACAATGTCACTTAGCACCCAAGAAATTTGCAAAGGTAGTTAACAGTTATCATAAGAATATTTTACTGTCATGGACAACATATGGCAAATGCTATGACAAATATTACACCTTATTGTTTAATGTTCCAGCGGAGCCTCATTAATACATAAACTGTGTGAATAATAGCCTCTTATCGCACTGACATTTATCTTTAATCATTTAACAGACTCTTTTATTCAATGCAACTTACAAATGAGGAGCGATTCATCCTAAGGACGTGGTAACATCAAAAGTGCTGCAATCCGTTTCAAGATTGTTCTGAGAACTAGACACTAGAACAGAGATAAAAGCGAGAAGTGGTGAAACTACTTCTGCATTTGCAGGTTTGAGTCGAGTGCTCACGGAAGAGATGTCTTTAGATGTTTTGTGAAAGTTGAAAGACACTTGGCTGTTCGGGTATCTCAGATATTTGATGCATGCATAAAGCATATCTGGGTTATGTTTGCTTCAATAGAATAGAGAATTCACTGAATGACAATGTGACAGGTCTGTTTATCTTTTGAAATAATCTGTTAAAAACCATAAAACCTACCAGACAAGTTGCACTAAATCGACATGGAAATTCATCCCATCTGCTTTCTAAATGTGAGTTATCTATCCTCTTGTGAACGATTCATCCATGCATACGTTTCATTTATTTACTGTATATATCCTTGTAATTTTTAATCAAAATGTCGATATTATACGGAGAAATGACAAACTTCTCTCAGATGATGCTAGACTTCTCCAATCATTACTTTCTCATAAACTCTGTTCTTTCATACTATCTACTGCTTGCATTCAGATCTGCATCCACAAAAATAATTTGTTTCATTTCTTTTCCCAGAAAAGATCTGTTGCTACTTCCATTACATTGTGACTTGATGTAACATGGTCCAGTGCCCAGGTTTAAGATTTGTCTCAATTCTCTTTTACATCTTTCTTTCGATAAATATTTCAGCCTAAAATTTCAATTTATGTATTAGAAATGCATCATTCTTTTTTTTACAATAACCAGTTTTATATATGTATCATAAATTAACCAATTTGTTTAAATCCCATACATTTTAACTAATTGAATATTGTTTGTTCCACAGCCAGCCATACTTAAACCGTTCATACTTTTCGACTCAATAAAATTCATTGTTTTCACAATTGACAGATTTATGCTGATTCTAAACAATTTAAATAAATGCCTTCTGAAAATATTATTATTTGATGAATATATTATTATTATTATTGCAAAACCAAACGGATGCATATAGTTAATAATAAACTATACCATGATTTCTTTGAGTGTTGAAATCTTACCTGTTTCGGTGACATGCATCACATTAAGTTTATTGGATTATTTATATTAAAACTGGAACATTTTCAATTCAAATACACTGTAAAAAACTGCTGCTTTAATTTTTAAGTACAATCAATTTGCTGTATAAGTCGTAATACCTTTAGTTGCATTAAATTGACTTTAATTAAAAGTGGAAAGTTCTATAACTTAAAAAAAGATGAAAATTGTTTAAAGAATGTAACTCTTCACCCTTGCTTCATTTAGTATACGCGGATCCATGAATATGAAAATGTCCCTGCCTCCTATTAATCACACCAGCTCAGACTACGTGATTGGTCAACTGCAGTAAACACTACGCAATGGCAAGTAGAAATATTGGTTTAATTTAGCCATATGTTTAAATTATAAATTGATTCAGCAGAAGAAGAGGAAGAGCGAATTATACAGGAATCTAAGGCCGACAGAATGGTAATGCATTTTATGTATCGCTTTCTATAACGTCGGACACATAACGATAATTGATATGATTATCTTTGGCTTGACTATGTTATCAAACAGCTAATAATGTGTTGCTAATGTTACCCTGCCTAATGAGTCAGACATTCCTTCTAAAAATCAGCGACCTTACAAACGCTTTGAACAACTTAGAACGTCAGTGGAGAAAGGCATAGTTCTTCATAACATCGTTATATACATCATATACATAATTCAGCCATTATATTGCTATATGTACCCGATTTTTATTGTCCCTTCTTACAGGTGATCTTGTGCTCATTGTGGAAAAGCCCCATCCCACGCGTTGATGGGATTGGTAACACGTTTGTGACAGTAGGAATCAGGGGTGGTTTTAAACTATAGTTTTAATTAGAAAATACTCAGCAATTGTGTTGGCTGATGAATTTTTACCACATGGATTCTTTAACTTATTTTGATGAGTTAAAGTAATGTAAAAACATATGGTCATCCAAAAATAATAACGCGGATTTACTCACCCTAAAGTTGTTCCAAACCTGCATGCTGCTATTTTTTCTGTGAGACACAAAAAATAAAAATGCTAAAGATTCTTGATGCACCATAAGTATTCAATTCATATATATTTCTAAATAAGAGCCAATCGCCAATTGATAAAGTCATCGCGTCATCTTTTTTTGTCATGATTTGAGAGTTTAGAAACAAAATCTATGAGACAGTTGTTGTCAGATTTCATTGGCGATTTCAAATATGTAATTGAATCGTAAGCTTAGTGAACAGCTTTGGAGAATTTGCTATTTCCCCATTCAAAAAGATAGGAGCTGTAATTGCATGACTGAAACAGCTGCCCGAGAGGCGTTTCAAAGATGGCCGCCAAGTAAAATTACTTGCCTAAAAGGGACTTTAGATATATTCAGAATTTTCTGATAATCATTCTATGAGTTGGGCCATTTCACTCAGTTGATCCAGTTTCAAAATCAAACTGAACAATCTGTTCACAAATCAGACTGATCTGGTTCGAGATCAAGTTCACCGAGATCACTGTCTCAACACACACTTGGAGCTCAAGTTATGGAGAAGCCCACCAAAAGTGAAAATCACTGAATAATTACTTCCATTTTGATCTGTTCCTCATGCAAAAATAGCATATGGCTTCAAACAGCTTGTACTTTTTAGAGCTCTTTTTTTCTTTTGTGAGTCACTTGGAATAAAACAGTCTGTTCAATTATTAAAGTTAAATTTGAATGAGATATGAGACTGTTATTCTGTTATTCACGAGGCTTCACTATACACTCAATATTCACAGCATTTTCTATATGTTGTCCATAAAATACAAATTTTTTACTGAGGTTTTATGGGAAAATTACACAGTAGTGTGTAATATTTGCCACTGCCTTGGTCATATGTTCATTGGCCATAGCAATAAAATACATTTTTACAGTCATTGACACTATGAACTGCGGATGAATATAAAAAAATTTGTGTGAAGATTCTTCAAAATATCTTATTTTGTGTTCCTCAGACAAAGAAAGTCATACAGGCTTTGTAAGACCAGGAGAGTGAGACAGAACTGTCATTGTTATCTATTCCTTTAAAGTCCCCCTGTGTTGAAAATCAACCTTTTAAATGTTTTTTATACATCTATGAGGTGTTTTTAATATGCTTTAAGACAAACCATGTCTAAACAGTCTAAAAAACGCGGTTTGAAATCGCTGGTGTTTCTGACGTCCCAAACTACCTTGTTACCAATCACTTCAACGTGTGATCATCAATGAGTGGATCTCTGAGCTGGTGTGAGTGAGTGGAGGCGGGGCTAATTTGCATTTTCATAGAACCGCATACTAAATGAAGAGTTACATTCAAGCTATTTTAAGGCATGAAGTTTTTTTTTCAAGGAAAAATCTTTAAATATGTCATTTTGGTGATCAAAGGTGAGTTTTAGGGATAGAATTATTGACTGCAGGGGACTTTATAAGATAAATTATGGCACTGTTGTCAGTACTGACCAGTTTTTTTTTTTAATGAGTCGATAAACTATGAAATTAATTCATCAGCAGAGGCTTTTAATGCCATTGCCATGACAATGTAATTAGGTCACCGACTGTGGTCTTTCTAGAGCCCATTGAAGAAACTCATTGAAGAAACTGAGAATGTGCGCATAAAGAAGCTGATATAAACGGCATTCAAATCGAGACTTTGAGGAGCCTAAACAACAGCCTAAACATGAAATGCTCCCATTCTGTGCTGGGTAAATTACTTACAAATTGCGGTTAAAAACGTATTCCATTACACTTCACATATAAAGTAAATTAATCTAACTACTTTTTGATTAGTTTTGACCTTACTCATTTATTACATTGATTTGAATAGGATAATCTTGTAATGATATACAATACAAAGAACAAAAATATACTTTGTTATCCACAACAAGTGAGTTAAATATTACATTACATCAGGGTTTCCAAGACTGGGATTCATGATGGAACTGCAGGTGGTTTGTGAGTTTAATGGAAAGCTATTCTGCCCTACAAAGCAAAAAGGCAGTAACTACGCAGAGTGCAGAACTGAGAAAAATGACTTTAAAGTTATCCTGTCATCCTGTTATCCTGTTGTTACTGATTGATATGTACAAAGAATAAGCTAATATAAAGTAACAAAACAGCCACATGTCCAAAAATCTATGACAGGATAACTTTAAAGTCATTTTTCTCAGTTCTGCACTCTGCGTAGTTACTGCCTTTTTGCTTTGTAGGGCAGTATTAAGTGATTAAATAATTAAAATAAATTATTAAAAAAACAATAAAAATAAAACACCTACTAAAAAGGATTAATATATATTTTAACTGTTTGTGTCATATTACCAATAACGGACAGAGAACCGTGAACTTAATTTTATTATTTGTTATTATTAATACTGACTTTATTATTGACCAATTAACTCAATCTCAGGGGGTACTTCAAGTAAATATATTAGGTCAAAGAGGCTCAGCTGACAAAAAAGTTGGGGAATCCCAGCAAATATGAAATATGAATTTGTGCATTTTAATGTGTTTGAAAGACAAAAGCCTTCCAAAGACAGCAATAATGGTTAAATGACTCACTGAGTAATCATTTAAATAATAATTAATGTTCGTCAGGAGTTGATTAGTGCAATGTTTCAATGTTGAGAAAACACTTGTTTAAGTCCAGTGATGAAATGCTGTGTGGGTCTCAGTTTTCAGTGACAGGCACATGACTGCCTGGTCTGTGAGTGTAATTCCACAAACCTGAAGACCTTCTGAACATATTATAAGAAGTAGGCTTTTTTATAAAGGAAAATTTAAAAGATAGTAGTATGGATAATCAATGAATTATTAATAATTCACGGCCATTGTGAGAATAACATCATGTAATCAATAAAAAGGTATAATGGGATTGTGAGAATTTAAAAATATATAATTTTTAAGATACCGAAATCCAGATTGCATGTAAACAGTTACTATCCAGGACTACTCCCATCACGATTTGAGGCCTAATATGATTTTATGACAAAAAAATGACATATCATTTTCTCCAAATATAATAGAGCCATTGGGAGCCATGGGAACCAAGTGAGGGAGAGAGACAGTACAAAAAGACAAGCAGGTGAAGAAGGAGAAGGGTGGAAGAACACAGTGACATATCAACTGACAGAAGATGTGAGCAATAAGATTGGGAAGGAGAGATAGAGAGGGTGGAAAAACAACTGTTTTAAATGATATCTGATGCCAGTGTTTTAGTAGCAAAACTGGATCCCACATCATGTAAGTATAAGGTATGATCCAGTTGCAACTAAATAGCCTACCTCCAACCATCCAAATTTATCAGGAGATTAAAAAAAAATAAAAAATGTCTCAGAAGCACAACAATCAATTCCCGAAAATATAGTTTTAAAGTTACCAATCCGTTTTAAAATCTGACAAAAACATATCTGTCTTTCATAACACACAGCACCAGATATCCTTCGGCTTGAATGATGACACAAAATGAACTTTGATATTTTCAGCCTGCACCAGGAATTTATAGAGCACCATAAAAGACAAATTCACAGAGTAGGCTATGAAAGCAATTACAATAATATATATCTCGTGTTGAAATACAATCTTGACACGACACAAAGAGATTTGACTTGAGCTCACCAACACATTACCTTAATGCCTCCTCTTAACAATCTGAAATGTGCCATTAAATGCTAAAGAGGAAGATAAACCCATCCAAGGAAAACAGGTGTGCGAGACATCTCCTCGCTGTCCTTTCGTTCCCACACTTTCAATGAGGGCATTAAGATCAATTATTGCGCGTTTTTGGTTCAAACTCCTGAGCTAAGTGCTTTCATTGAGTGTATCGTAAACAGGTCAAAGTCCTGCAGGTACTTTTGTCCTCATAGCCTAATGATCCTTTCTTTGACCACCAGCTGCGCTTAGTATTTTGGTGCTCAAAGTTTATTTTATAACACATTATAAAAATCAGCTAGCCTATCCCCTCACCCCCACGTGTTAGAGTGAATTGCATTTTAACAGACAGAATAACATCAAACAATATAACGTGAGAATGAACCGCATTGCGTGACTGGCTGCTATTAAATAATATGCCATTTTCGTAAACGGAAAAAGCAGAGATGATCACGATTAAGTGGATATCGCCTATCCGGCGTGTCTCCAATTAAGCGCGTTCGAGAGTCTTACCTGAAGCGCTATCCATAAAGGCACGCGCGCGTCTCCATCAGTCTGAATGAGTGAACGCGCGCGCGCGTGTGTGCGTGTGTGTGTGTGTGCGTGTGTGCGTGTGCTGACACTGAACTGACAGCGCGCTCAACTGCGCCTCTGCACAAGCGTTACTCACGCGGGGGTCCGAAAAGCACCAAACGCCACCGATTCACAGCATGCCACAGTGATGCATTCACGAGCTGTTGAAAACATGCCTCCAGTTCGTTTATTCTGAGAAACTATTCACAGGACTTTATTAAAGCTTTGTCAATTGATGGGGCTCTTTGCACTCCTTAAAATAAAGGTTCTTGATTGGCATTATTGGTGAAGAAGAACATTTAATATCCATGGAACCTTTCATTGCACAAAAAGGGTCGGTCAACACTTTATGCAGACGTGGGAGTGGGACCAAGTCATTGTTTTGCAAGTCACAAGTAAGTCTCCAGTCTTTGCATTCAAATCTCGAGTCAACTCCCAAGTGACAGAGAACAGCCTACAGTGATCAAAATTCTGATGTTTTTTTTTTTTTTTTGTAAGTACATTTTATTTAGGTTGGTTACAGCTTTCACTGACCAAAGTGCTGTACAAAAACAATTATAAAATAGGCCTACAATAAAATAGAGTGAAAATCTAAATAAAAGTTGATCATTATAAGTTAATAATCAGAAAAGGCTAGAGTAAAGATGTGTCTGATTCCATAACCGTGGAGCAGCAACTGCAAAGGCTCTGTCACCTTTCGATTTAAGACATGACCGTGGGACATGTAGGAGAGCTTTATTGGCAGACCTGTTGGACTTAGGAGCTGAATTCAAATAAATATGAGAAATGTAAGATTGCGCTTGTCCGTTAAGAGCTTAAAAACAATCAGCAAAATTTTGAATTGAATTCTAAAAAAGACAGGAAGCCAGTGAAGAGAAGCTAAAAATGGAGTGATATGATCACGTTTTTTTTTTTTGCACTATAGTTAAGAGTCTAGCCGTTGCATTCTGAACCATCTGCAAAGGTGCCAATAAAGATTGGGGAAGACCAAGATACAAAGAATTACAATAGTCCAGACATGATGTGATAAATGCATGAAGAATTTTTGAAAGGAAAGTGACGAGATTATTTGGCATCCAGTATTTAATAACCTGAAGACAGTCCATGAAGGTATGGCCATTAAGAATTTCCCAGTCACAGGGCTAAAGTTCAAATCAAGTCTCGAGTCATTGTTGTCAGAGTCTAAGTCGAGTCGCAAGTCTTCTTTGATTATGTCAAATCGAGGCGTGCGCAAGTCATCACATTTGGGACTCGAGTCCAAGTCATGCGATTTGTGTCCCCAACCATATTAAGTGTCTTTAATTACTACATACTAACTTTTAAATGAATCATTTAATACAATGCACTTATTGTGTACATACATTATATCTTAAAAAATACCTGCAGCAAAAGTGTTTTGCTATTCAGCCTTAACATAATATGTAGCTATTCTACCTATCAGTTATTATGTAGGTAAATACATCTAATATGAAGGATGGGGTGAAAAAAGGTTCTTCAGATTATTAAAATGTAAAAAGTCCAAGTCAACCTCAATGCTATTTTTTGTATACATTGCATGGCAATGGATAAAAAAGAAACAGTTACTTCAGGATAAACAGGGACACGTATAGTAGACAGTCCCAACGACTAGCAAATACAGAATAAATAAACACAGACAATAGTACCACAAGGTACACAGAGTAAAAACAGGATTGACAGTTGAATAAGGTAAATAAAAATAAAAAATTGGCATCATGGCGAAAACCCCCTTTTGGAACCTTTATTGTATAGGAAAAGTATACGGGAAGCCAGGGCTAGTTTTTAGAGGAAAAAGTCCAATTACACATGTGTCTATAAAAAATAGTTAAAAATCCTCTTAAATATCAGATAAATTATTATTATTATTGTGAATTCTGTCCTCCACACTAACATTTCATATTTTTGTGATAGCTGCTAAACAAGTGAAGACAATAAATCATACTGGCATATACTCAGGCAAGAGTCAACTATATTATGATGATAGATTTTAACCGAAAGGTTGAATTGTGCTCTCAGAAAAAATATTTTTTTCCCCATAAACCTCAGTTTGTCACATGAGTTTTAATTGTAAATTTATATACCTTTATATAACTTTTAGGCTACATTTTTGCTGCCTCATAAATTGTTTTGTGTTTTTTTATTTGCTTTTTAACATATTGCTGAAAAGTCAATACTATTCACAGTGGCATGCCAGGCTATTGAGGCATGTCTTCACAATGTCAACTGTGCTTATTGATCTGTATCTTTTTTTCCTGGGTGATAACAGTGGAAATGGTCAATATCTTTTGGTAGCCAAGACTTTAAGTTCCAAGAAATTGTCTTTTAAAAATAAACCTACCCTGACAAATGCTGTGGAATCAGTTGAAATACCCTTGAAACGTTCCACTGTATATGCGTGATGTGAAATTTCTCATACTCTCGTGAATAGAGCAGCGCCACCTGGTGGAGTAAAGTAGCGAGAAAATGAGTTCATGTCAATGGATACAATTCAGTTTGGAAGCATTATTTACTTTCATACAAGTAATTTAACTGTTTTATATTTAACACAGTCCTCTTATAACAAAAATATCACAGTCCACTTAACCCCACATAAGCAAATGTAAGCAAAATAACTGAATAGATTAGATATAGAATAGATAAATACTCCTTTTAAAAGGTTCGATTTTCTTCCTAAATAAATTTCTTTAGGCATATTAAACCAACTACTACTCGACTATTACTATGTCAGGGTCAACTTAAAAAAAAATGTTTACTGTCATTTTATTTAATTTAATTATTTATTTTCATTAAACATGAAACAGACATAAAAAGTTGGTAAAAATATGTTGTCCAAAAAATTAACGCACAGGTCACTGAAGAGGTTTTGAAACACTCTTCTTGCACTTAATGACAACTAGACAGAAGTTCTATAGATTTTTCTGTCAATTACATTAGCAGTAGCTCTGGAGATCAAGCTCTTTTAAATGTCAGTGAACTTTCTCTCTGACCTGTTTGTGCGAGCTGTCACTTTTTATCTGCATGGTTCTTTTTCTCAAACTTCTTTAAAAGGCCCAAGTCAGTGGGAAGGTCAAAATGGGTGAACTGTGAGCTGTTATTCATCCGTGTGTGTGTAATGAACAATGTGCAATGGCATGAAGCTGAAATCTACAAAGTACGGTTTTCAGGATGCAATGGGTACAATATAATAAACAAAATTAATCTTTGGGTAGCCTTCCTTTATGTCCCAGGTATTGATTTTGGGGATGAAACAAATTTATTAAAACTTTATTTATGTTGTTATTAAATCTGACTTTTTACATGTCTTGCATCATTTTTCTGTATTGTTTGACCCCTTCAACCTAAAAAAATAAATAAATATTGCCTAAAAATTATTGTGATGAATTTTTTTTCTAATAAAATGGTCTTGTTAAAGGGATAGTTCACCCAAAAATAAAAATTCTGTCATCATTTACTAACCCTCAAGTTGTTCCAAACCTGTATGAATTTCTTTCTTCTTCTGAACACAAAAAAATATATATTTTGAAAAATGTTGGTAACCAGACAATTGACGACACCCATTGACTTCCATAGAAAAAAAACAACAAATAGGCTATGTATGGATCGTCAATGGCTATTGTTAACTGTTTTATTACCGACATTCTTCAAAATATCATCTTTTGTGTTCAGCAGAGAAAAAGAAATTCATACAGGTTTGTTTGGAACAACATAAGGGAGTAAATGATGACTGAATTTTATTTTTGGGTGAACTATCCCTTCAAGTGAACTTTAGAATTTTATGTAGGCTACCCTAAATATGCACAAATTCAATTATATCATATCTTCACACTGTTTGGTTAATTTGACATATAGCCTACATAATTCATATAGCCTACAATTTAGCTACAATAGGCCTAAACAACCGATGACGAGACTTTACCTGAAATAAGCTGAGCTTCGCGGTCCAAATGGTTCCTATTTTTCCTATTTAAAACGCATCACATTGTTGTTGGTTTTTTTTTCTTTCTTCATTTTAATGGCTCTGAAAGTTTCCAGTAGCTCTATGACTATTTAGGTACGTGTTAATTACTTCACAGCCCACGTGAAACAGCACGCGTTTCCTTTCTGCTGGCCAGATAGACCAATCACAGTAGTTTGTGAATATGGGCTAATATATACTGAAACATTATTTTATAAATATTGCAAGAGAAGATTTACATTAACGAATAGTATTTTTAGTGTACAACTATACAAACAAAGTCCTGAGAAGTATTTGTAGCTCTGAGTTTTAAGAAACTCAAAATTACTATGTTTGCATCCCAAAAAAAATTGGATGCAACAACAACAATATCATCAAATTCATTGGCATTTTTTTAATTAGTTTGTTTTCAAGCAACGCTACATGGCATGTATGACTTGCATTGCACGGCCTGTGCAATAGGTGGCGACACATTACACTTTCAATAGACTGAGACGCACGCGAAGAAGAGTAGTTGTGTTGTTAGTGGAAAAATGGCGTCGTCCATGGGCGGAATGTTCACTGGTCAGCAGCCGTCTGGATCTCATCCACCTACAGGTCCAGGTCAGCCAGGGCTTCTCACAGGCCCTCCCGGTAATAGAGGGACAAATAACACTTTAGTAGATGAGCTGGAAGCTTCTTTCGAGGTGAGATCAAGAAAACTTGCTGCTAACATGCCAGTAAAAGTTTCTGTGCAATTATACTAAGAGTGGCTGTTTGTAGATCATTTGTAAACTGATTATGCACGCATTGAATTTTTTTTATATTTAATATTATATTCTTGTTTTATATGTAATATATAATCTCACGTTGAATGCATTTAGTAGAAATTAATTGTTTGCTTAACTGTAGATCGAAATGGTGTCGTTATTGTCAGTGGAGTTAACTTATTATATAACTGTCAGTGTAGTAATATAACCGATGCTGTTATTAATTTATATTTTTGCTTTTAAAAATGTTCTTTAATGTTTTTATTTCTCCCAGGCGTGTTTTGCATCTCTTGTCAGTCAAGACTATGTGAATGGAACCGACCAGGAAGAAATTCGGACTGGTAAAAAACCCATTTGTATTCTTCTGTTGTTCCTTATAAAGCTATGCTATGTTATCAGATGGTAATTCCAGGGAATTTTAATACATTTATTTATAAAGGATTAACATATTTATACCATATACTACAAGCTGCTTCAACGAATTCCATGATATTTCCATAGTGCCATGTCCAAAACATGGTAATACAATGTTTTCAAATACAGAAAATGTATCAAAACTTAGCAGATTCTAACATTAGTTTAAAATGTATTCATATATTAATTTTTAAGACAACACCACAGATGAATAGGGAAAAATGATTACTAATAGATATCACCATACTTTCCCAGCTGATTAATCTCAGTACATTAAGACCGTTTTGTATTTTAAGCTTTCTGAAATATTATTTTGAATAGACACACTGAAGTGGAGATTTCTGGCTCAATGAGAAAATCTACAGATGCAAATAGATAGTGTAATTTGGATGTTTTCTTTCTGCTTATCTGAAAGAAGGCATGTTATGAAAGTAGAATAGCCCAAAATCTTTTTTTTAAAAAGACCAGTGCATGAAAAATCAATGGTTTTACCTATAACGTCTTGCCATACTGATTTAGCCTGTTGTGTATTTCAGGGGTTGATCAGTGTATACAGAAGTTTCTGGATGTGGCCAGACAGACTGAATGTTTCTTCCTTCAGAAGAGACTACAGCTGTCTGTACAGAAACCAGAACAGGTGGAAAAAGAGGTAAACTTCTATTTTTGCCTTTGAATTCTCTGCAGCATTGATAAAAATCCAACCGTACATTATTTAAACCAATACAATCTTATACATTTTTAGTTCCATTGTGACATTTGAAACACCGTATACTGTAGTTTAACTATATGTGCTGTTTGTTCTTTCAGGATGCATCAGAACTGAAGAATGAACTCCAGAGGAAGGAGATGCTGATTCAGAAACACCTCGTTAAGATCCATCATTGGCAGCAGGTGTTGGAGGACATCAACGTCCAGCACAAGAAGCCCACAGAACTGCCACAGGGTCCACTGGCCTTCCTGGAGCAGGCCTCAGCAAACCTACCCGCTCCCATGAAACCAAACTGATGCATGTGGATCAAGCACCCTTTTCAGACTGTGTTCCAGGGGCCACTTCCTCTTTCCACACAGAAAATTGGACAATAAAGCCTTGTTGTTGACTCTGTTAGAGATGTGTGATGTGAAAACACGTTTTAAGAGCTACTAAAGGACGTTACTGCCTCTTATCTCTCATGAGGGGCTTGTAGGTCTGCCAGTAGGTGGTCATTTTAAAGCACTCAAGAGTCTTTAACATTTAGTCATAAGCATACTACATAATTAATTTAATGACAAGTTAATTTTAAGTACAGGTGTCATGTAGAGGGACTATTTTGACAAGAAAGGGCTTTAGTTGGAGGGAATTAATTGGGCTAAATGTTTTTTTTTTTCACATTGTTCTTATTTTATTAAAACACCTTTTTTACAGTTTAAAATAAACATGTTTTGTCAAGTGAAAATGTAAGTGCTCTTTGGACTTCCTGTATTTCCTGGCATGGCAGTCCAGGACTGTGCCTCACCTGGATTATTGCATTTTTTTCTCTCTCCCTTCATAACATACTATATCAATATAAGGAGACTTTTTAAAAAAATTCCAGCTACCCACAAATCCATTAACTTTGCATTTGAATATTTATTTCCCTTTTAGTAAAGTAAAAAATACATTTAAAAAAAGCTAAGGCCTTTGACGCATTTTGGCAACAATAAAACAAATTAGCAATCAATGAATCATTAAATGGGTAAAAACCTGTAAATTACATGCTAAAACTTCACATTCTTTTATAAACGCAAAAGGAAACGATTTTTTTTTATATAAATTACTTAGAAATTATATAAAAGAAAACAAAGCCTACTTTTTAGAGTTTAAGTTTAAGAGTTTAACATGGTGATATTAATGCCATTTCCCCCCAATATTTTAATGTAATGTGGAATGGAAAGGATGTGGAAAATTTGCATAATTGTCATAAAAAGTCACCACCTTTTTAAAATTTGCTTTAAAATAAGCTTTGTTTTCAATTGTCTTTATGCTATATAACTCCTGCTTTTATCCTGTGCAGTCAGATCCATCAATATAATAAAAAAGCAACCATTACATGTGCAAACATACAGTGAAATGAGGTCCACTATAGTGTAAACATGACTTAAAAAGTGTTAATTCAAATAGAAGTAAAATATAGTGAGATATAATTGCGTAACTTCCCAATAACATTAACATAACATCTGTGCTAATATTGCTGAAACATTTCAAGTATTTTAGGACCATATCCCTCCCTAATATAAACAATATTTCTTCTCGATTTTGTTCAGGTTGTTGTAGCTGCGTAACCTGTATAAACCGCATAATAAATCTCATTTGCAGTATTCAAAATATTTAAACAGCAGTGATTTTAAATAAAAAAAAATATAATGTTAAAACGCTCCACCGAAGACTTTTTGTACATTTCTCTCTCTTGTCTTAAAAGGTTTAAACCTTTGAAAACGCAGTCAGTAATGCCCCAGATAGAACAAGACAGAAAGCAACGATGAGGACAATGTAATTTCGCCAACCCTGAGGGAAAGAGAGGAAGAGATGGGGAGTTCAATGCAATATAAAAGCAATAGACCGCAGGAGCAGAACTCACACCAAACACAAGTATTTACCTTCACTTCTTTAAACACTACAACACCCCAAAGAGCTGCAATCAGTCCAGGAACCTGAAATGGAGCATTAAATATCAACGTTAACATTAACATACAAATGTAAAAAGTACAAAAAGATCCTTTTGAGATCTGTCACTCACTGTGGTGATAATAGGGAAGCTCACTACAGCACTGAGATAGTGGTTGGCCAGGAACCAGCAGCACGTGGCCACACCCCACATGATGCCAGAAACGAATCCTACACGGAAAAAAACATCAGAGGTATGCGGAAGAAAGATGATAAACAATTCAAAAGGAAGTGAAAATGAAAGTGAAGTGATGGCGTTTACCTGGCAGCACTGCTTTTGGAAAAACTTGTGGTTTGTTTTTTTTGATGGCACAGTACAGGAGGAAATACACTGTACTAGTGAGGAAAATCCCACTATATTGTGCAAAGACGTAATCCAGATCTACACAAACAAAATGCATTATGGTTCATATTTAAGAATTCAGCCAATGCCTATCATGAGGTAATCTGGATTTACCAAACTGGCTAGCCCCACTGTATTGGCTTTTTGGATCATCTGCATGATTTTTAATGTATAGAACTGGAACAAATGATGACCCGTACAGCACTCCAGCGACGACAGCAAGACACGTTCCACTGAAAGACATAACATTCGAAGCTCTTTTTATACAAATCGTTTACGAATGCATTATTCTTATTAGATACAGTATGGGCATGCAGAAAATAATAATTTAATTAGAATTTTATTGCAGTTGATACTATTAGTCCAAAAAGTACATTTACTCGGGCAAAAAATCTGATTTTTGATTCTGTATATCTAGATGCTGATGCTATATAACGTAAATTCAATTATTAATCCAATATGCAAGATAGAAGTGTGATGTTGTGTACATACACAAGACGTTTGGTGCGTGGTCTTAATGCATCCACCCAGGAATCATCTGTTGCCACCACAGTTTCTGAGTTCACAGCCTTCAGATTAAATTGATAAAATCATTTAACTGAATAATTTAAAAATGCAATATTTAAAAATGTACAAAGCCTCTAAAGGGACAACATGGCGATGACAAATATATGAAATTTTTTTGACGCTTTTCTAGTACCCCGAGAACAAAGAACGGTTTTACTAGCGAACGCAAAAAGTAATTAAAATGCTCTTGGGTTCTTTTTCCCTAAAACACTTTGTGTTGATTTGCAAAAAGTTTGTGTTCCCCCGAGAAACTTTGCATTCGCTCGGTAAAAAAAAACAGATTACAGGCAAACGCAAAGTTTTCCTTCCATCTCATATTTTTGTCCACCACCATGTTCCCTTAGGGGCTCCGTAAAAATGTCACAATTTTCAATGTTTCAACGTACATGGTCTATTAGTAAAGGGGTTTCTTCAGATGTTGATGACCTTTGAACATCAGTCTTCACGAAGAAAAAAACAATGGCACTGTAAACATACCAAATTAAAAGGATTAAAAAGGGGGAGGGGAAAAAAGAGAACATACATTATTTAAAATAATGAGACTTAAAAGTAACATCACATTCTATGGCATACAAAAACAAAATAAATAATATGAATGCATCACATTTACCTAATTAAACAAAGACCTGCTCCACAGGAGTTCAATACTGGTTTGGAAACAGTCTCAGCACCAATACCAAACCAGCCAAACCTAAAATCAGCAGCAAGAGTCAGTGTGTGATAAAGAAGAATATTAATAAAGTTCCTTATTTGGATTCTGAAAGCAGATTTTGTTTACCGTGAGCTGGCCCAACCCAAGAGCAAATTAAATGAAGCCCATATAAGAAGACCAAGACCAAGCCCAATAGTCTTTACGATAGGAACTACAGTTATATTACCTATAGAAACACACGTAAACATTGACACAAACATGTGACAGAACTGAATCATCACTGAAAAACATAAATGAGAAAGTTTTTCAAATATGACAGTAAAACTTGTTGGTGTATGTAATCACACAATCTATATCTCAAGCAGTAATGATCAAATGCTAAATTATACAGGCAAATTAAATAATCAGATGTTACCAGTAGCCCAGATGGCTCCTCCCACCATAACAAGAGGCCAAAATTTTGGACTGTTCAGAATGATGTTCACCACCAAGGAGACTGTCCATATAGCAGCACATAAAATCCACTGGAAAAACATACCTGCACAGTAGGGTGAACAGAAAATAAATGAAATATTATTGAGCACACTTTCTCTCTTCAGTGTGTTTTCAAAGCAGTATATATATATTTTTTTTTATTTCAACAACAACAATAAAAAAATTCTATGTCCTCTATAGGTACATCGAGACCCAGTAATATTTTTAGCTGCCAAATTTCCCATACTTTTTGATGATAATTGGTTCCATTTTTCTTTTTCTTTAAATGGGAACCATATTAATTAGTGTAACGTTCTGTGTTTGCTGGGGTTTGATGTTTTCTCAACTGTTGGGGTCTTGTGGAAACACTACAGGTGAACTGCTTAAATCTATATATTTCCATGAACTAGAGGCATTCTTATAAAACAATTGTATTACTCTGTTACACCATTTATTTTTTCTTTTTCTTTTTCTTTTGCCTAGGACCCCCAGAGTCCCTAGAATCAATACTGAAAACTCTACTGAATTTGGCACAAGTCCGGTTACTTAGCATTATTAGCTAATAATACTATTGCAACATTTCAATAAAAAAAATATAGACAATTCTGTCATTATTAATTCACCCTTATGTTGTTTTTAACCTGTATGACTTTACATCGAACACAAAAATAAATTGTTAGATGACAGCCTCAGTTACCACTTTCATTGCATCTTTTTTTCCACACAATGAAAGTGAATGATAAACTTTTTTTGTGCTCCACAGAACAAACAAACTCAGAAAGGTTTGATATTGAGGGTGAGTAAAAGGAAACAGACTTTTAAATATTGTCGAAACATTAGGCTTGAAAGTCAGTTCATAAGCCTACCATAAATTTACAGTGACACCAGAGAATGTGGTGACACGAAGAAAAGTCAGTTGAGAATCACTAAGCAACACATCAACAGGAAGGCAAAACGCCAATAAAGTGTCAAAAATAAGAAAAGTTTTACTAACCATCACCAGTATCTATCTTTTTCACTGGTACGAAGTTGCTCCCGAAAAAGACTGCGGCCACGGCGCAGGATATGAACCCATAAGTCAGATCAGACGAGTTGGTGCTGTTGGACTCTTGCTGAAGGTACACGGACGCGTCTGACAGCCCCTCTATTGCATTACAGTTACATTACATTGTGTTTTACTCATTAAAGTTATCAGTTATTCAATGCATAAATTACTTTTAATCTCTACCTGTGTCCAAGTGTTGCGCGGCGCCGGTGCAGAGCGCGCAGAAGAGCGAAATGATAAACGCGGCCACGCGAGGATCCATGTTAGATTCACACGCAACAGCCTTCAAGCAACTGACAAATATTCATAAAACTACTTTCATGAGCAGATTGCTGGAATAATGTATTCCAAGCGAGAGCTGCTCAATGAATAAGCGTGTAACTTCCGTGTCAGCTGACAGTCATGATCACATGATGTATCTTGAGCACGCGTGAATCAGAGCTGAACAACACGTATTTGAATATGATGATACTGACATTTCCACTGTTAGTGGGCGCCTGGGCGGCGTTATTTGCTGACGGACGGTGGTTTGAAAAGGAGTGAAAAATAACTTTTTTGTTTTTTAGTTTAACAATGGGTTTATTGCTAGGCCTACTGCAGATTGTAGCCTACAGATAACAAATAAATTGTGTTTGAGATAGCATAGACCTATGTTATTTTGACATGAACTGGTAATTGGTGCTATGAAGAGATTTTAGAAGGGGAACTGAATTATCGTAATAATTAAGTCCCATAATTATTTCAACAAAAAATTACATCAGAAGCTCAAAACTATAACACTGTTATATTAAAGAGGCTATATGCGTTTTTCTGAAATTTAAACTCGCGACTGACACCTGTGGCCAAAAAACAGAACTGCTCTTCCTTTCTGCTCGCTCTCGCAGCGCTCGTACGTGCACACTTCACAAGTCATCTGCTGCAAGGAGGTCAACATTATGTTTACAGAGGTAAGAACAGTCAAAAAATCGCAAAATCCATTGCACTGCTTGCGAGTGTAGGCTACTTGCTGACTAGCGGTGGTGGCAGAGTGGTCTGAAACGTTTAACATGAACGCGCCTGACGTCACATCCGCAGACAGCGAGGGGAAATCCGACCCGACAGAAAATAGGAAAAATAGAATACAGGCTTATAGGTGCACCCAATGTGAGCGGACAAGGTGTCAGTATGCTCATCAGGAGATGTTTGAGTCATAAATGGTCAAATGAAAAGGCTATTGTTACGTTTATTTTTGGGAAAAAGTTACATATAGCCTCTTTAAGTAGCCATACGTTACCAGATCAATTGTTTCAGTATTGCAGGTGATAAAAAATAAAATATTCAAGTTTTTCTTTTTCTGAGTTTCATACAATTTCTGATTGTATTATCAGGCTATCATCTTTCATTCATTTCATATCATAGTAGGCCTATGTATCAAGACAAAAAAGGCAAGGCAAGTTTCATTGCATGGACAAAAACATCTACTCGCTGTAAAACAAAACAACTTTCATGGAATTCTAAAGAAAACTGAGTTCGTGAAATATAGCCTTTTCCTGGTAATAATTATGAGACTATTATTGATTATGTTAGTAGGCCTATGTTATTTTAGATATCAACCCGCATATGCGATGGACATCAGTCATGCTCATTTTAGGTAGCTCTTTTGAAGGCATCTAGAGTAAACACCTTTATAGTAAGGCACATACAAAAAGAGCCGAAACTGGAAGCAAAGCAGCTGTTTAACAGAATGGATGTGTAGGGCATAACGTCGACTGGTTACTTTGTGTCGGTGTAGTCACACTAGGGGTCGCCCTTGTGAGCCACAAACACCTGATACTTCAGTAAGGGCCAGTGAAATTGGCATGTGGAATTTGCATGCCACTCCCCCGGACATATGGATATAAAAGTTGTGGCTTGCTCTCTTTCAGGTTTGAGCTAAGGCAGCGTGCCCAGTCCATTTCAGCAGGTAGTTCAGTGTTGTGGCAGGACTCGAGTCAGGAGGGACACAATGTCTTCACTAAATCAGATAATGGAGGTTACAATAAGATGTTCCCTATCTGTCACTCACTCAGTCTATACTAGTGTCACTATGGTCCTTAGAGACCAGAGCAGCTGATCTGTGTTAAGAGGTCCCGCAGTGCAGATGCAGGCTGCTGCGTGCAAGTAACATGTGCACTTATGCCACGTCGTAGCCTTCTCAATGCCCCAATAAGTTGCCGTAGTCCCCCGTACCACAAGGGGGCGGTAAGGATTGTACTTACAAAGAGAATAGGTCGTTTCAGCCGTTGTTTTTTTGTTGCTGACTGAGTGCAATCGAATCTGAATTGAAAATGTCAGATTCAGTGTGGTTTTTAGTTGTTCACACTGTCATCTCAGAAATAATCAGTGCTGAATGTGAGGGGGGAAATGATCTGATTTGGATGTTTCACTTTTATAGTCTTTTGTAGCTCTGTCTCTTAATTTCACCCAAAAATTCTGCCATCATTCATCATTCTGTCTGAGTCTTGTAAAAAGATACAATCACTTTATATGATGAACAGATTTAAAGCTACAGTATGTTTTTTTTTCGCCGCTAGGGGTCGCTAACCTCTTAGGGCGTAAATTGATGACGCCTTAAAGGCGCAGCGAAGATTTCTTGATGACGCAGTGATAAGCGGAATCATGGAACTTGTCGTCATGATGATGGATCCAGTAATGTTTATGGATTAGTGAAAACATTCATGTTTTTTAACATGACTGGTATGAAGCAGGGTGCGATTGATGAGAGACAGATATCAGCGCCACACGCGAGTCCCGTGGATATAAAGGATTGAGGACATTTCATTCTACCGAACTTCCCGCAAGTGCTGAATTACTACTCACACAGGTCAGTTTATTAGATGAATGAAACTTGTGAGGTAACACAGTGCTATTTCACTTGGTCTACACTATCATACTTAAACTGCATTTGAGTGTGTTGAAAGTTATAATGTTATTCTGTGTTAGTTTGACCGTATGAGACTAGCAGTAAGCTATATATCAACATTAGAATAACATACTGATCATATTCTAACATTTCATCATGTTGAGCTTTATAATATTGATTTGTTTTATGTAACTGTAGCAATGTTCAGGGAAGAAGGAGGCGGGAACCGGCGGACAATCAAATTAAAACTTTATTTAAATGAAATAAACACAATACCTGCCAGCAGTCCCTCACGGAACTGCTGGCTACCCAAAATAAATAACTACCTGCCAGCAGCCCCTCACGGACGACTGCTGGCTACCAAAATAAAATAAAACAAAAGCAGGCCTGTTCCTCTCTCGATCATCCACTCCGTCGCTCCTCCTTTATGCTTCCGCTCCTCCGTGAGAGATGCGAGACCGGTGTGCTTCCCAGGTGCTGCTCATTAGCAATCGCACCACCGGCCTCGCGACGATCTCTCACGTTCCTCGGCCGTCCTGCTCACCACATACCCCCATCACCCCTCACAGGCCGGGGGGTACACCCGGGCTGTGCCTACTCCCTCCCCCCGGCGGCGATCCCTGGGGGATATGGACCGAGGAGCCGAGGGAAACGGAGACGGAAGCACGAGGAGCGACGGACACGAGAGAGGGGAGAGAGGAAAAAAAAAAATTGGTCCGGCTCCCACAACGCGCTGCCATCTTGTCCCTCACCAGCTGGGCGATCTCCTCCGCGGTGCCCGGCGGCGACGCTGGATGGCCCTCGTTGGACGCCTCGACGCTGCCCCGCCCCCGGTGGACGGCGACGGCTCCTCGGGTGCCTTGGGCAGACGGCAGGAGTCCCCCGCTCCCTGCTCCTCCCCTTCACTGGCGGATGGCAGCAGGCTCCGGCCCACGGCAAGCGGCGGTGACTCCTCCTCTCCCTCCCGGAAGGCAGCCGCCCCTCCATTCCTAGGCGGTCGGCGGCGAGCTCGGGCGTCCCACCGGCAACTCACCCCAGCGCCCCGCCTCGAGCGTCCATGGCCGCGAGTCCCCCGCTCCCTGCTCCTCCCCTCGGCAGCAATCTCCGGCCCACGGCGAGCGGCGGCGACTCGCGCACCATGCTTGATAGCACCGCGGATTCACCACAACGGCGAGGACCCTCGGACAGCGCGTTCCTCCCTCTTCCCGGGTTTCGGCACCAGTGTAGCAATGTTCAGGGAAGAAGGAGGCGGGAACCGGCGGACAATCAAATTAAAACTTTATTTAAATTAAATAAACACAATACCTGCCAGCAGTCCCTCACGGAACTGCTGGCTACCCAAAATAAATAACTACCTGCCAGCAGCCCCTCACGGACGACTGCTGGCTACCAAAATAAAATAAAACAAAAGCAGGCCTGTTCCTCTCTCGATCATCCACTCCGTCGCTCCTCCTTTATGCTTCCGCTCCTCCGTGAGAGATGCGAGACCGGTGTGCTTCCCAGGTGCTGCTCATTAGCAATCGCACCACCGGCCTCGCGACGATCTCTCACGTCCCTCGGCCGTCCTGCTCACCACAGTAACGTTGCATTTGCTCACTTGTCTTGTTTTATGTAACGTTGCATTTGCTCACCTGTCTAATAAAGTATATGCATGTGGAATTTGCATGCCACTCCCCCGGACATATGGATATAAAAGTTGTGGCTTGCTCTCTTTCAGGTTTGAGCTAAGGCAGCGTGCCCAGTCCAAGGCAAATTCCACATTTGCCTTTACGGCAAACTCTGTCAAGTCAAAGTTTGCCGTAAAGCTCTCGGCATCTCGAAAACGCCACGCCGATTTTGATCCTCGTTTTAGTTCTCCTTTTGTCCCAAAGTCTGCTTGCCATGGTCCATAATGTTTGAACAAAACAACAACAGCGTGAGCGTGCCGCTAAACATTACGCAGTTGTCCACATCTGTTGCCATGGTTACTATGGCAGTACAACAAGCGGAAACCAGGAATAACACTGATATTACCTCATTGACAGGTGACAAGTGACGGGCACTATTTCAAATTGTGAATTTCTCTGAATTTACAAATTCTTGGAAACATTTAGGATAATGTAAGTACATAATTGAAAGAAATAACACTGTGGAAGTAGCCTGGGAAAACCCAGACAACTTCCGGCAAATTTAGATTTGCTCTAAAAGTTAGTCTGGCAAAGAGCTCATTCAAGCCCATTTCCAATCCGTCGAAATCGAGGCACCAATCAGAAACGTTGGGGCGGGCTTTACACGATGACGACAGCGCTGGGATTTTGAAGCAGATTTTGTAGCCTACATTACAAAGATGGATGCCGCCGTCGAACATCACTCGTTCAAATCAGCTATCGCGTCTGTTTTTCGCGTCTCAGCAAGCGATTTGAACGTTTCCTTTTTGTTAAAAACCGAGCAAAGAACAACACTCGGAGATGTTTCTCCGCCGCTCTGCACACGTCATCTCCTTCATCGCTCTGATTGGTTT